AACATATGCTAGTGGGAACTGCTACTGAAAGCTGCTGTATTGTTGCTGTATGTAGTGCTGTGATAAACATGTAATGTAAATGATACTTGACTACATCAGCTGTTAGGTAAACAAATTATCTTCCAATGGTCTTTTCTACCCATTTGTTTTTAATACAGTCAACTCTGTGTTCGTTTTTCTGGGGGTGGGAGTGAAGTTGCATATAGAATCACTGTCATGATTCCCAGGCAGCCTGGACTTCACCTTTTGTTCTTGTATTGGTTGAGCACCCCCAGGCAGCAGAATTTACATACAGTTCTTTCAAGAGGATTTCACTACCTAGGTTCAAAATTATTATTAATGTTATTTGTTTTTTAACCCGAAGTGTAAATATCAGTTTAAAGTTTACATATGGCTTATACTACTTTCACATCAGTTACATTTAGTCATATGACTTCTTGAGTCTTGACAAAAAAAACAAAAAACAATTTCAGGTGATAAAATTAAGAAATTGTTGTCGTTGTTTTTTTTTTCAAAAGGGAGATTTTCATGAATGACAGACATGAGCTTAAAGTTTTCAGTGTTTTTTCTTAACCTGCACTGAAAATGTTATTTTTGAAGGACTTGTATTACTAAATTCTATAACTCAGACTTTGTTACTCTAAATATTTTATTCCTGGATGAGGGAACATTTACACAGCAGGAAGTGTTCTGCAGAACTGGAAATTAGATCTAATGGATTCTCACACTCTGCACAAGCTTGAGTTTGGGAATATAATAATGATCACTCTGGTTTCTGCTCCTCTTAGCTGCCTGTCAGGATAGCATATTCTGCTCTCATACATGAACATGACTCCCCCTGTATGCTTCTCTGTCTCCTTTCCTTCCGCTTTTTTATTCTGCACCATCTTTCTCCCCCCAACATTGTTTATATACTGGTGCTCATTATGACTGCTGTTATGACAGCCTCCCTTGCACTTACACGCACACAGCCGCCGCAGTTATTCTGCAGATTTACAACCTCCTCCTCCACCACCCACAGAGAGAGAAACAGAGAGGCACACTATAGCTGTCTAGGAGGAGAGCTTTATGTTCACAGTAAACTAGCCACAGTGGCACCACCACAGAGTCCGTCCCACAAAGCAAACCACAAGCAGACAGTGCTGCAATAATAGGCTCTCAGGGATGACAATGGCAACAGTCACTCAGTTTATAAGTACGTCCCACGTCACACAGCACCTTCTTACTCCAACATCCCTGTCAGTTTTCTTCACAGCTACTTAAGAGTACTTTAGATTGCTAGAGTGCTGCGGAGGAGTGCGCATATGCTAGAGTGGCTGATGGCTTTAACAAATGATGCTTATTATGAGTGCTAAGTGATGTGATACACAAGATCAGGACTCTTGTTATCCAATCCCTGCTGTCACATTTTGCAGAGGACACTTTAGAGTGCAAAAATCACAGCTGTATTTAAATAATAATAATAATGTATACTTTATTGATCCCACGAGGGGAAATTTGTTTTTACACTTTGTCTAGTTAACATGCTACACAAACATAGGCTGAAGTACACACATGCACATGCACAAACAAGATCCTATGGACATGCACTATTGGAGAGGTTTCAGAGTGAGGGGCCCCCATAGTGGGCGCTCCTGAGCTGGGTTAGGTGCCTTGCTCAAGGGGCCTCCGCAGCGCTCAGGAAGTGGCCTGGCACCTCTCCACCTACCAGGCCAATTTCCGGACTTAGTCCGTGCCAGGACTTGAACCAGCGACCCTCCTATTCCCAACCCAAGTCCCTACAGACTGAGCTACTCTCCCTGTTCAGTGATTGGCTGTGATCTCGTAAGAGCATCAAAACAACATACAAAGAAAATAACACACATTTATGTACCCGCACATCAACAACATCATGCAAAAAAAAAACAGTATCAAAAAAATACTAATGAATAGTTGTTGCTGAGATGGATAGCACTAATGTGATTTCTTGATGTAGTGTCTTATCAGTCAGTTTCATGCACAGCTGCTTGAGCAGTGGTCCAAAGCTTCTAAATACTGACATCAGTGTGGCACCTGCAAAGCTCCACTGTCAATTTAAAAAAAAAAAAAGTAAAGCAGTCAGGTTAGCAATAATAAATCAGCTTAACTGTGATATCTGTCTAGATTAAACTTGCTGAGGAAAATTGAATGTGCCTCAGGTTGTAAATGGTTGCATTTCAGTTATGTATAGGCAAACTACTTCTAGGTACATTAACCGATAAGAACATCAAAATCACACCTAAGTTATTACAGGCTGAGTATCTATTTAACTACTGCACACTGACATAGACATAATGCAGATGCAATTTTCGGTGTCCACATTTCTTACAAGACTCGAGGAGATTCTTTGTGCCTGTGCGAGTAGGTGCCCTCAAGAGGGGCAGAGGAGCCTCCCTGATGTTTCATACATCAGAGTAAACCCTCCTTCCTATTTGTTGCTGGGCATTGATGAGTGCAGTTGAGATAGTTACAAACTATAGTTAGAACTACATGGCAACAAGCTTCTCTTCAGCCAAATTCGCTGTGGTGCACAGCATGCGAGAGAGAGTGGAGCGTGAGCTGTTACATAACCACCAAGCAGGGATTGAAGTGTTGGGAAGGCAGCACGTGTAGCCAATGATCTTTGGTGCTAAAATAAGGCCAGCCAAATATCAGACCCATAGTTCTTTTGTAGAGAGAGATATTTTTGATTCTGTGAGGAAAAAAATGATCTGCCTCATTAAGCTTCAGATGTACCACTTCAAATGCTTTTCTCTGAACCAAAACAAACAAGACATTCAGGATTTAAGTGCACATTGGAAAAGGGACTGCACAATCAAAGGTACAAGTTTTGACCTGTATCAAGGATTTACCTAAATCACTCTATTCCAAGTCCAATTATAGAGCTGAACACTAGAGTTGCCACTGTTTATTTCTTTAGAAAAACTCAACTTTTAAACCCATATTTGCCAGCACCCCAAGCCAAATAGGGTGTACACAACAACAACAACAACAACAACAACAACATGACAAAACCTATTAGAGTCAAACAAGTTTTTCACTGATGGAAGCTGCTCCTGTTTCTCTGACTTCATCCAGTCAATATCCAAGCCTCTAGATCCCAAGGTGCTGTGGGTTGTCAGATCTGTAGCCGACGGGCATTTCAAAAATGCATGTTCAGCCTCTTTGCCAGGAAGCGGATGTGCCAGTCATGACAAAAAAAAAAGTTCCACGCGACAGCAAGTTTATTTAACTTAGTTTTCCATGTTTGATTGGTAAGCGTCTTACTTCAGTGAGCTACATGAGCATCTGACTGCTTGCTCGACTGTTTTATCGTGTCCTAGATTTAGCATCAGGGAATTTTACTGCAAGCAATCAAACTTGCTCTGAATGTTTATGAAATATTAACCTAAAGTATTTGATGCAGGTTTTGTGGCACCAGATGAAGATGCATCCTTGAGTTTAATCACAACCAATAACCTGAATGGTTGTGATCATAATTTAAGAGTATACAGTTTATATCAAGACCTGTATAGGTTTTTTTCATCAACTGTTATTCATTTTCTCATAAAAGTTTGCAACGCTGTAATTTTTTTCTATTTCAAACCTATGTTGCCTCATAGCCAGAACGTTCCCAATTTGAATCCCTGCTCAGGACTTTCTGTGTGGAGTTTTCATGTTCTCCTGATGCATGCATGGCTTCTCTCTGGTTACTCCGGCTTCCTCCTGTCATCCAAACTCTTAATTGCCTGTATGTATTAAAGTGAGTTTGACTGGTTGTTTGTCACTATATGTCAGCCCTGTGATTGCCTCTCACCCAGTGACAGCTGGGATTGGCTCCAGCCCCCCACATCCCTGACTGAGTGAAGTGGTATAGATTATGTATGGATGTATGGATGATGGATGTATGGCAGGATGGAATGAACCCTACATCAATACATCAATGGACAATGGAAACAAAAATAACAAGGCTTTCCTCGGCAATAATATACTGCATGGACAGGTTTTCTATGCATAAGGGGAGATATTTCTGAAGTTTTTCAAAAGGATGTGTACACTGTCCATACTGTATCTAGTTTAAGAAACATGCATATTTTGTCTATTACACTTTGATGTGTGAGCATTCTCATGTTAATCAGATGTATACAATCCCTTCAAAAGCTCCTTGCTGTCTGTGCATGACATGATGTGACGGGAGTGGACGGTTTACCACTCTGATTCTGGGATGATGAACAAAAGAAAATGGGTGAATATGTTATTCAAGTAATACACATCGAGGCCCATTTCACAAACAAAGCTTAATCCCAGAAAGACAGCGACTGTCAAAGCAAATAGAGCATGTAGGAGATATTTAGAAAAACAGATTTTTGAGGTTGCTTGGAGGTTATTTTCATTTGTCTGGAACATGCAGTCTCTCTTCTATGTGTGTTTGAGCGTGTGTCACATGTCCACGCACAAAAACACAAAAACATGCACAATCAACTGAACAAGCCACACACATACGCACATTTTTTATCATATATTAACAGACTCCAAATTCACACACAGGCACAACAACGAGCACAACCATCTGTCTTTTCTCCCCTCTCTGATTCATATACTCACATATTTCACACATTCTGTCTTAACCTCACGTTTCTATAAAAAGAGAGATATTCCCCTTTGCTTTGTACTGAGGTTTTTTTTTTTTGGGGCCTGTAGTGCTACTGTTCCATTTGCTTTTAAGTGAGCTTCATCTAATATTGAAGCCTAGTCTGGTCTTATCTGAGAGCAGGCAGTGCAAATGTATTACAGAGAAGCAGTGTAAAAATGGTTGCTTTTGGGGTAACCCTCTCTTCCCCTCCTTCTCTACATCCCCCCTTTCTTTTATCCCTCTTTTTCCTTCCTCTGTTTTTTCTTCGCCTTCACCTGTCTGCTTCCTCTCTGATGTTCTGGCTCTGTCCTTTTCTTCCCCCCTCCCCCGCTGCTTTGTCCTCCTTTGCTCCCTGTCTGTGCACATACAGGACTACACATTGACGATGTACTTCCAGCAGGCCTGGCGAGACAAGCGGCTGTCCTACTCTGAGATCCCGCTCAACCTGACCTTAGATAACCGGGTGGCGGATCAGCTCTGGGTTCCGGACACCTACTTCCTCAACGACAAGAAATCGTTTGTCCACGGTGTCACTGTGAAGAACAGAATGATCCGGCTGCACCCGGATGGTACTGTCCTGTACGGTCTAAGGTGAGGTATTAATCTGTTAAGGAAAAACACCAAGACCAAGGGTTTAGATGTTTGGATTTGAGTGCTGAAATAGACTACAACATTACTGGGACTGTTTTTTTTACATCATCAGATATTCTGAACATATTTAATTAAGATGAAAGCAGAAGGGTGTGTCTTGATTGATTAAGCTGGTACACGTGCAATCAAAGCAACATTCACAACCACTCTGTTCATAGTTAATGATGAAAGCAGACTAACAATAAGTAAAAAATACTTTAAAAACATGTTTGGATTTCTTTGTAACAGTCCAACCTCCCTCAATTTGCAGAACTGTAGAAGTTGTGTTGTCAACGTCATGAGTGATCAAATAACAAAAACCATATCATCTGCTGTTTCTTTTTCACTTGACTTCTATAAACTGCTTGTACAACTGTTGTATTAAAGCAATATTATATAAGAGGTTGTGCTGTTGTACTGAATATCGTGCCTGTGACAGGATCACAGCCGTGCTGATAGTCACAGAACTCCCTCTGGTGCGGTATTGTTTAAGTGTAGTTAAAAAGAAAGAAAACGATGTTGTCGGATTGTTTTTACTTAAACTTTGGTCAAGTGTACTTCCTGTTTAAAAAAAAAACAAATAACAACATGGGAAGAACATAATCTCAACCAACTTTAAATAATGAGTCGACAGTTGACACATTGGGCTCTGTCAGTAATTAGCTCATTAGAGCCAGATGGAAAAAAAAAAACTGGAGTAAGGTGCAATGTTGCCCCTAAGCGAAAATTACTTTGTTGATGAAATGACCTACTTGTGTTCTCATTGAGGCAGTTGTGCACCTAACCAACTAAAGTCTTCTGTAAGTATTCTGCTCTTCATCGATGTTTCTGCACTGAGTAGATGATCTGTAAATGAAAAAGATACTGTTAGGCTTAATTTTCCACTCCTAAAACTGACCACATCTGTATTGTCTATATTAAACTGTATCTGCATAAAGAAGAAACTTTATGAGGATCAAACAGGCCACACTATTTTGCTTCTTAACTTGAGCACATTCATTCACATTACTTTGATTGTTTTCAAGCTAAGGTTAGATTGCGTGGTTCTTATTTGTCAGCACCTTGGATACACTGTTTATCTGTGGTTGCAATATTTTTGTTTTTTGCTTCATCAACAACCATCTTTATCATCCCAGCAGCTTGCAAGCCTGTTTGTCAGTCACAACAATGTGTACACAGACACGCTGCTTTAGAAGGCTCAAAATAATAGAAGCCTCTTTTAAGATTCTCTAAACGGCCATCTTCCCTTCTTTAGATAATAAAAAGCTATTAACAAAGAATGGAACATTGACATTTGTTTTTTGAGCAATACATGGATTTTTTATTTAATTTCGAATGGAATCTTGTCTTTTGATTGACGCATCCATTCATCTCACTCAAGCTGTGCATATGGTTTTGATTTCTACAATATACTCAAAATATGGATGTGTTTCTCAGTAAATGACAGCTTTCAACATTCATCAAGTTTGCTGACACTCTCAAAGCTACAGAGATGAATACAACTTTTCTGTAAATTCAGGTTTGATCTTTTTTTAGACAATATTGTTTGGGGAGGGCCCTTTATTTAATATTCTGAATATTTCCCCAGGCTGAGGCTTGCATGTTTGATATGTAAATATGACATGTCCCATCTGCTTTCATGTTGCCAAAAACAAACTCCCTATTGTGTCTTATAAATTGATTGACCCATTCCACTGAGCTTTAACCTCTCAGAGGTAACATGATTACATTGCACTTCTCACACATCAGTGATGTCTCATCAGTTCATTTTGCAAATAGCCCTCGAATGCCCAAACTCTATAAAAAGTTATTGAAAACCATAACATCTTAATGGCCACCATGGCAGCACATTGGCACTGCTCTGGGAGAGAGGAATCAAATAGAGAAAGAGAGAAGAGAGAAGGGAGACACAGAAGGAGAGAGGGTTAGAGAAAAATCTTTTTGGTCTTTTTCATCAGTCCATCTTAGTTAGTCAACCACAGGCCTGTTAAGGTGTTCCGTGGGTTGTAATGTTCTCAGGTTCTGCACAACAGTTTACATTGTGACTTTGAAAAACATGTTCTTATTTCTAGCTTGTTGGGATACAGCACAGTTTTCAGTGAACCAATACATACAAAAAGTAAACCCTCTAGTATCCTTCTACTGTAAGGAGCTTACACTTTGTTTTGGCCACCCCATGTGACCAAAGCAGTGTTTTTATCTTTACTGAACTTGTCCTGTAGCTACTGACTGTATGTAAGCAGAATTGTCTCGGGAAGAATCTCCTCCTTACTCCTTTGAAATGTCAAATAGACCATTCCCGGAAAATGTAAACAAAGGCACATTTAGCAGCCTGCTATAAATAGCAGAATTTGACACCAATCTGTTGGCTTGATGACAGGCATCAAAAATAATTCTATAGAAGTGGTCTATATTCTTCAAGACTATCTTTTTTACTTTTGTAGGTAATGAACAAAAAGTATTAGCATTATCTTCAGTTGTTTCATAAACACTTTATATCTGAAATGATTTTTGGTTTAAATAATACATATACAATATCTGGTTTGGCTTTAAAAAAATTAAAATTAGTGGGAAAACAGTGAATTAGTTATGACTTTTCGGCACCCAATAATAATTGTAAATGTTGGACTTGGTTATGCTTTGGCACCAAAACTATCGTTTATGTGATAAATCAGGGGTTGGATTTTAAAAATGACCTTTACACTTGTGTAACTAATGCATAATTAACATGTATTAAGTGAATGTTAGATAACTAATTTTGTTAAAAGCTGTCAAGAATGACAACTTGTTTAACGAGGGAATCAAATCCTTGTATCCTTAAAGACATTTCCTTGTTTAGCCCACGTATTACCCCATATGTGTCAGACCCAAATAGACTTCTGTGCCATTGATGCATGATTTCTTATGGTGTATTATTGTTAGGGAACCTCTCATGAACTTTGTGTACAAATATTTCAGTGCAGTCAACTGATTAGAAGATTTTTTTAGAATACCCTTTTTGTGCTCATGGATACTTTTTATGGTCGTCAGATTAAATCAGAAATCCCCTGGAAAAACCAAACCCTTTCTGTCAAATTTACAGTCCACTCGCTGACACAACCATTCTCCCTGGATCAAAAGTGGGATCAAATTTAAAAAACGCAAAGCATTACACAACAGATTCCCACTCATAGAAATCACTGCATTAATCACAATTCTTGATGGCCTTTGACGGTGTCCTAATATGAATCCTTTGAAGTTTATTGCAGTTTTGGAAAAAAGGGATTTTGAAAAAAAAAACACGTGTCATCCTGAACATACTGTACTCAGAGTAGTATAAATCCTATAAAACATCACTGTGACATCACCAATGTGACTTCATCCACCATATACTCAATAAGAATATTGCATGATCATAACATTAAAGTGCTTCTATCATGGATCAGAGCCAATGTGTGCAGTTGCTCAGAACGTCAAGAGTAGTCAAAAGCATTCAGAAAAAGGCTACTGAGGGGCACCAGACATTTGCCCCTGACATCAGATTATGTTAAAATGGAACTCAGAATATTAGAAATCATTTTACTGTCTGGACATTTGAGTGAAAATAGATAACCTTCACTATCAACTCATAATCCAATACGGAAATCAAAAAGCCAAAACTACTTGGAATGTGGTTTTGTACATCCCCAATTCACTGCAGAAGTTGTGACACAAAGTCAGTGCATGTATTAGTTTGGATGAAGTGGGATTATAGTCAAACTCTGAAAAAAAGGAAATCCATCACCCTTGACATTCAATGTAGTAGGATGGCCAGATTCCTACAAATCTTAAATTGGTCATGGAATCTTGGCCAGTGAGAGCCAGAAGTCAACGCAGCACATGCAGATACAGTATATCACTGCCCAATGAAACCCTAATTAAAATTAGGTAGTTATTTTATTTAATAGGCCAATAAACTTTATGAAATGGTCCCTGAAGTGAAGACGGGGGGTAATTTTAGAAGCCAGTAGAAAAGATAGCCTAAAGAAAATCAAATATTAAATTGACACTATTTAGATAAAAAAAAAAAGATATATATTTAAATAAAAAGACATTGAGTATTAGTTTATTATATCATGTTTTTAAGTTCCATACTGAGGTTAATTTGGAAAAACTTGTAAAACTACAAAACACTTTCAACACATTGTCAATAGACTAATATCAATCTGCCCATCCAATTTGCCAAAAATATTACATCACATTTTCGTACAAACAAACAGAAAGATACAGTTTTGAATTAGAGAATCTCCTCATTGAGGCCCTTTCTTGGAAAGGTAATTGGATGCAGAAGTCTATAGATGCTGATAACAAAGAAAACCTCCCATTCAATACATTCTGAGATTAATTGCCATTGCACTGCCAATTCATCCAAGGGACTCATAATGGCAGCTAGAATACATACAACAATTGGCCATTTTCGTGGGCTGAAACCAGATGTGAATCCATTTGCAAACATGTTTACATGCATGCTGGTGTTCTTTGTACTACCACAACATCAATCTTCTAAACTCAATAAGACGTTTTGAAGGGCGTTCTTTTACCTGTGAAGCAAAAAAAAACAGGAAATAGCACAATTTGCATTCGGAAAGCATTACTGTACAGTGCAAAAGCAAATTACTATGGCAGAGTGATTCGTATTAATGAGTTATATCTGATTGAAATAAGCCAGTATCAGGTTGACAAAACATAAAAGTCAATATTTTCGCTTCCAACATTAAATAGCAGGGATTTTTTTATGAAATATGTAATTATGTTACAGCTTCCAAGTGATTTGGTTCCATTGGCTTTGTATTCCCTATGTTTTCTTAATAGCTTGTAGGTGGGAACCAGCTGGCTGTGGGGGAAGATTACACTTTGAATACTGTTATTTCTTTGATACTAATTAATGCAGCTCTGGAACTCTGTAGGGAGTAGTAGAGAGGTGTTCAGGTCTGTTGTGAAATTAAAGGTGGCTTTCATACATTGTACCATTATTAGTCAACTTCTGTGTTAGTTTAAAAAAAAAACACGTAACATAGTCCACCCACACCCCTGGTCTAGCAGTTATCTTATGTTTGTGTTTACTTCAAATTTACATCGAAACCATTGACTGTGACATCAGCTGTCTCGTGTTTCCAACCTCCACCAACAGCTTCAGAGCTGGACGTTCTGAACTGCTTGCTTAGATGAGACTCAGAGTACTGGAGTCTTAATATACAGACTGATATCCAATCCAGACTTCACAGTTATTTATTTCTAATAACAACCCTTAACACTTTAAGAGATTTGAAAACAATAACAGCAATTTGGCAGAGACCATACCAACTACGAGAGTAAAGTCAAAAATATTATATTTGTTTGTAGTTGTTTTTCTGGAAAAAATGTGTTTTATTTTCCTAACAAGGATACAAAATGCACAATCCAAAATCACAACAACTGGGCCTTTAAAAGATGTAATTTCATTATAAATCAACTTAAAGATACAAATAAATAGGGTGTGAGGTTAACGAACAGATGTCACAAAATAAAACTATAGGGGTTCTCAAAATGGACATGAGTGAATGAAGCAAAACCAACTTAACCCCAACCCCTCCCCCATGACATCAGCATGTGGTAACTTCAAACGTGCCACACCAAATGGACACACCTGCACCAACCCAAACTTTGTATGGTCCTAGTCCCACCTTCTGTGAGGCATAAACAGAGGACGTTCAATGAATAGGATTTGACTAAAATCTGAGTGGTTCTCACTGAGCATGCCTGTTCTCAATTATGTGAACAACAGTCAACCCATCTACTTGGTCTGAATCCCATTGACTGCTGGAAGCCCTTAGGGCTACTTGGCCCTGATTTGACCTCACAAGATTTTTCCATCGAGAAGCAGAGTCTTGGAGCACAGTCTAGTAAACATGTAAGGCCACTCCAGGTGATGCAACATATGGGGCTCAGTTGGTGCAGGTTGGCAGTGTCCTGAGGCGGTAACCAGGCAACAAGGCACTATACAAAGACTGAGCAAGAAATGCGTCTACATCATTTAATGGATGGGACAAGAAAGGGAAGTATGTGAGGTTAAATGGAGTGCCCTCTGAACACAATCAGGCACTTATATGCACACACAAGACCCAAATGACAGCAGCGTAACATACATATACAGGCGCACACACTTTACCCCACACAAACATGAATTACCTTTCTTTCCCAGACAGTCTGTTTTAAAGCTTCTGCCAGAGGCTCTTTGCTCTCAGTTCTACACCGCTGACTCCATCTTGACACAGAGATCAGAAAGTTGCCAGGAAGTAACCAGCAATTTACTCCTTGGTTAAACACTTGGATGCTACAGAGCCCCATCACCAACGGCAAATCCAACAGAGGAAAAAGTAAATGCTGACAAAGACAGGGGACAAGAAAGAGAGAAAAGGAGACCAAAGATGTCCAAACTTCTTAGGTCGAACCAACCTTTCTGTCTCAATGGTGGTCAGAAACCCCTGAGGTCATATCAACAAAAACTGCATGTTAAAATGAGTACCCTTACCTTGAACTTCTTTACTGCTAATGAAAGGTTGTGCTGTGACAGAAACATTCAGTCTCACCTGAAACCTTTAACCTAAAATGTTGTTTTTTTTCTACACTCTTTTACCTCTGATGCTCTTTCGCCTTATCACCATACCTTCACTTTGCATCACAATTGTATTCATCATTATATCATACCAAAGAAAGTGTTCAAAAACACTGTTAAAGTGGATTTTTCATAATATGTCCCCTTTAAGGTTTATTTGTGAGAACTAAACTTTGGCATTGACTGCCTCCTGGAGAAGTTGTAGGCACCAACCTTGGGGCTTGGGGGATAATTATTCACACTTTTTGTTTGTATGCCTTTAATCTGTGCTTGGTTTTTGGATTGACCTCCAAATGACTGAGTGTACAACACGGACTCTATCAAATTGCGTAGGTGTGGGCCCACCTGCTCGCCATATGGTTCCTGTGGCGAGCTCGGTTGCTTAGACACAGAGGTGATTCACAGACAGAAATTGGTTACCATGTTTTTAAAAAAAATTACCAAACAGCTTCTCAAAGCATTAACGTATTGCTGCGTCATACAAATAATAATACCGCACGCAGTATTTGTACTCATGTCCAATATAAAATTGCACGATTCTAAGATAGCTTGGATTTCAGACGTACATGGATTATTAAATGCAAAACAGATTGTCATTGCAGTGGCTATTGGTCTGAATTATGGAATAGTGAAAGAAAGAGAACAAGGAGAAGAGAGAGCAAAATAGAGAGAGGCACAGAAACACACAAGGGTGATTATCGCTTATGTGTAACACAGAGGATGGGACTCAAGATGAGCCTCTCCTCTGGCACAAATGTATCTATGTTGTCAGGTGTGCGTAGACGATTACCCACCATGCTGCGCTGCTCTGTGGCGACTCCCTCAGATGAAGTCAAGTTCTCACCAGCAGCTTGGGGAAGAACAGCTGCCCATTGCTCACAAACTCATCATTAGGTTCCTGTTACAAAGCGTGATGGACATCATTACCTCCTGCATTGACTCATGATTGGCTGCTGCTATTATCCTTTATTATCCAGCCCTGTCTATTTGTTTTGATAGGGTAATTGCTATGATGCCAACATATACACAAAGTATTATTGGGCAGTGAAACAGAAGGGAGTATCTCTCTGGTCATCCTGTTTGTAGCTTTTGTAAAGCAATCAGCATGCACAAACATTTTTTTTTACATAGTAGAGGAAGTCTGTGTGGAATGATTTCATTAATAATCTATTTAAACTGCTGTGATTCAAAATGCTTCAGTGAAAAATTAATATGCGATTAGAATAAAAAAAAGATGGGTAGGTGAAGAATGTTCCGAATGATTTGTATTGTTGAAATGGATTTTAAGTTTTAGGTTAACAGAAAGTATTTTGCCACCTTAAGAAAACATGTCAATGGTTTCCTCCCATCACTGACTGTGCTCAAATTGAGTTTTACTTCTTTTTTTATGATACCATCATTTTCTGAGTAAATTGGATTCTGCCTGTGGATACGTCACAAAGCCGTGCCTTGGGTGTCATCTTAATGCTCCAATGACCCTTCTGCCTCAATTCTTTTGTATGTGTCCTTACGATCACTCTTGAGGCCGTCCCAGGTGAAATGAAGATAACAATCTTCAGCATTATTGATCTTCTTTTCTCAACATGTTTCTTGGAGTCAGGTCCTGTTGATTTGTAGCACTTCAGGTGCCTGAGATTAAACCTCAAATCCCATTTCAGTCTGCTAAAGGATGATAGGATTTGCATTTGTCATTCAATAGTTGCTCAGATGAAATCTGTTAAGTGAAGGATAACTGAGACCTTTTCTTATTAAACACTGTTGGGATTTAAACAGTGGGTTAGAGGCTCATTACATACAATAAAACAGCTCCCTTGATTACACTAGGCTCAGAGATACTTATTTATGTATATAACAGATACTATACTAAAGAAACAAAACAGTCATTAAATTTCATAGCCATCTAGAGATGCAGAAAAAGTATAATGTAATTACTATGAAGATGAATGCCTACTAGGGATGTGCTGTAAACCGGTATCAATACCGTCACCTATTGCGTTCACCTGTTGCGACGACATTGATTTTTGCTAACCGTCATCACCGGTTCAAACACACACACATTTGGGTGTCTGGGGCTAAAACATAGGCTATTATATGTGCTGGAACTGATCTGCATCTCCATTACAATAAGTCTTCCTGCTTAAAGGTGTGTTTACACGGATGCCTTGCTTCCAATTAGTCCAAGATGATTAAAAGAAGCGACTGTGGCTTTGACTTGTAGTGGAAGGTGCAGCTGTAAAGAGAACTGCAGTGTTGGTGAAAATCTGCGCTAAATGCCGCTCTGTTTAAGCTTGAGATATGAATTTAAGCTTAAGATATGAATTTAAGGTAATAGTCCCCTCCTCTAATGCCTACTTTATATTTTACATGTCCTTGTGGAGTTTTGCAAGTACCTTTAATTGACTTAGCTTAGCTTTATTTAGCTTTATTTTTATAGCACATTTCACACAAAAGAGCTTCACACATGGATAAATCAATGGGAAGAAGGTATCTGTTAATAGAGATAATAAAAAAAATCAAACAACCTCTGGCATTGCATTATGGCTGATGCAATGCCAAAGGCAATGGATTTCTCCTTGTAGTCACAGAAGTCCTGGTAGTCATTATTCCAGGCAAGTTTTGGGAATTTTCTATGGTCGTAAGACACTCCCTTTCATTCTACACATTTCATGTTGATATGACACAAAGTAGTCAGAGTACAACACTACCACTGTCATCTCTGGCCTTTTGATGCCACCGCTGTCCCAAAGAGCTTGATCCCTGCAGTGACTCGCATCTCAGGTGGGCCTGACACGGGATTATCCAAGCAATGCTAAAACTGGGACATAAGGATTAGTTTTGGCCCTGTAATCCCCAAAGGACTTCCCATCACTGCTGCCACCAACCCCAAACCCTCAAAGTCTCCTGGATTTACCTGGAGGTACATGGGTTGGAAGACTTGAAGTCTGGTTTAGTGCTCATATTTATGGGTGAAAAAAACTTTATCACCAGTAACAATAACATCAGTATGAACTGTAATTGTGGTGAAACAAGCAAGCACTTTAACCCCAAACCAAATGGCAATATGCAGACCAAGGAGTATCAAGTGCCTTTTGAGGGTTGTCTAAAATTCTGATTTCTCACATAAGGTTATAAAGTAAACTGTAAACAATTGGTTGTTTATCATTGGATGGCTGACAAGATGCTGTGTTTTACTGTGATTCTTCAACAAAGACATCTGATTTTGCCAACAACATTTCAGTGAAATGAAAATATCATTTTCGTCTTGTGTGTTTTCAGAATCACGACCACCGCTGCTTGTATGATGGACCTTAGAAGATATCCACTGGATGAGCAGAACTGCACACTGGAGATCGAAAGTTGTGAGTACATCCTTTCCTTTTAATTATTTATCCTTCTCCTCTCCTATATTGATATTTTGTTTCCTGTCAGTGGTATCAATCTCTGCACTGATATAAGAATAGACAGCACATTTGTTCAAGTCAGCTATCAGGAGCGCTCTACAGGCGAAGAATTGGGTCCAACCAATTTGTGCTCCACTGTGTAGCAAGGATTTTCTCAGGGTTGGGATATTTTCATCACAGTATTTTCCATCAAATCTAGTCTATTAATACTGATAAAGCATTCCTAAATATAATCTGAGCTTTCATGGAAAGAAATACTATACAAGCTCTGATATATATTTCAGAGCTGCAATTTATTGCATGAAAATTGGTCATTTCAGCTTCACCAAAGGGCACAAATACTTCTTCAACTGAAAAATTTGTAGGAATTTTAATAAACATTTTATCATCCTTATTTGTATGAAGATCCAACCAAAGAAAAACTCTCACTTGGCTAAAAAGTGCTTTTTGAAATGTGTGCTGTCCATGTTACTGAAGTGATGGAAAAGATTATGGAGGATGATTGAGGAGAGCAATTGCTTAAGAAAACCGCAAAACTGAGGCCTTGTTTAAAATAAAGACAATTTACAAGGACTTCAACTAAAGCAGTGTGCAAAAATGGCTATCGCACCTTGCATGACCTACCATTTTAACTTTTGCTCTGATGCAAAATCCCTTCTGATTCTGTTCTTTGGCACCTAAGAGAATTTTGCAGGTAATGTTGGGCTAGAAAAAGGTGACTCGCAACTCATCTACCATCACATGGAAAATGAAAGTTGATTCCAAACCAAGCTGGTTAAATTTGCACAAGCTCAGTCAGATCTCAACTGGATGACTGGAATTGCTTCCAAATGTTGTTGTCACATACAGATGGCTAAAGGATGTTGCACTCAGCTGTGCAAGCGAGCTTGGAGGCCTACAGCTGGTGCTGGTGTACAAAAGGAAGTAGAGCATAAGGAGCAAAAGAGGCAGTTTAAAAGTTTTTGTGCAATCAAGATCGCACAATGGTGAGGTTATACAGAGGTCTGATTATATTAGCAGAGGGCTTGTGTAGAAAGTATGGGTACCACAAAGTTGTTATGGAGCTATTTTCTCATACAGTACCTCAATGATCGCCTTATCCACCAATTTTCTCTTTCCCCTGAATTTGAAAGTAAGTCCTGGAACGTTCTCTCTGCAAGGCTAATGATGCAGACAGCTCCATAGCCACTTTACAAATAAGCTGTACCCAGAAAGCTACTGGCCATTTGTCCAGTAGCAGCCCCTTAAGTTCTCTGGGAGTGTGGTTACAGGAATCCATGAAGACTCCACAGTCCAGTAGTCAGCTAATGGACTGGAACGTGTGTTGCTTGGTGTATTATGTGTGCATAAGACTTTTTAACTGAATTACACATTGCATCAAGTTCTATAATACCCAGGAAAACAGTTTGCTGATTTCAAAAGCTGAACTAAAACACACAGTTTATGTACACATAACACTGAGGCCATCTGGGTTTGAGTTCAGCAAAGTTGGCAGTGAAAATGTCCAAAATAAACTGAAAAGAAAACTTTGGGAGGAGAGAAAACAAGCATAGAGGGAATTTAAATCAAGCTGTGGCAGATTAGAGTGAAAGAGATTTGGACTGAGAAGAGAAACAGTCTTGTTTATAAACTGTTAGGTTAAATGGCTGATGGGAGCCAGGAGGTGACAAACCAATTAAACCTGTTTTTCAACATGTTTGACAAAGTGACCTCTTGCCAGCTGCTCACACCGCCCATCTCCTTTATTGGTGACATCATAGCTCCTTATCAGATGTATACTGCCCATCAGGATATACACCAAATCTGTCCACTACTGCTTCTTCCTGGCATGGACTTTAGAATGCAAGATTAAATGTTAGAGATAAGCAGTGGCAAAGGTTTCCTTGCAAGATTTGAACCCTTAAGTGAACCTGAAATTAAGGGACACAAATATGACTGACATTATGGATTGATTCATAACAGTCCTACTTCTCTTGTACAACCGGAGGCAACTGGCGAAAATCAATTTATTTGATTTCCCCAGAGATTCCAATACACAACCAACCATTTCCTTTAAGGGGGAATTCAAGTGTCAGGAATTTGACAAATGTCAAATGGACAAAGACAATGATACTACTACGGTCAGCAATGCACTCATGTGGTCTTGCATGTCTTAGCTCACTGAAAAATAACACTTTCTTGTCAATATCAGCACATACTTAGGTGGGTGGGAATTAAATGTTGTAGTAGTTATATGTAGTTATCAGTATCTACCATTGGGCCCCATATGGTGCTTCAGCATTACAACAACAGCTTCACTCATTCAGAACCAGCTTATACTTGCTGTTGCGAGGTCCAGGAGTTTCCTGGCTTCGATTTTCAGTTTTTGTCTAGCGAGCAGTCCCGCCCCAGCCCCCCACCCAGAAAAACAATAGGAAACAGTGACGTTTTTGAGCACCCATAAAAAGTATCTCAGGTTTGCCAGTAAACCATGTGCCTAATTGCCTGATTCTCACATTTAGAGACACCCATGCTGCACAGAAGGTCACAGACCGGGGAGAAAGTGTTGAAGCAGAAGTGAGTGCATGATGTTGTTGAGAGCATGACCTTCATGCTAACTATCTACAGACCTGGTTATTTATCATCCATAGTTTTTCTTCCAGTGGGGAGCAACGTGCAAAAGTACCTAATTGGGGACCTGGTGAGTGTTTGCTAAGGTGTTGTAGAGCTTGTAAACAGAAAATGTTCACTCATACTGTTCCTTATGCCCACACTTGTTTGAATGTAGTAAGGCTGAGACAGAGAGGGATATTTGCTGTTTACAAATGAGTCTGCCTCGCAACACTGCAGCAGGCAAGTCATCAGCACTCCAAGCGCACATCCTTCTCTTTTAATTTGGTGACAGGCTTGTTCCCAACAACTTTAAAAACACTGGCTGGGGAGTACTAAATGCTGTGTGTGTGCATGCGTAGATGTGTATGTGTGTGTGTGTGGTTACAGTATGTCTTGGAAGATTTGATGTGTCCCGCAGATAGAAATTTGAAAACAAAAGGGGCACACGTGGTCCCTCTGTTGTTTCATGTGAGCTCAGAGGCTCACTGAGCAACAGTTAAAAGGGATATCTGTTGGTATAGACTGCCTCAGGTTTAGCATAGTCTTTAAAGACGGCTGGTTGGGTTGTAGGATTGATTTTTTTTTTTCTTTTGCAACTGGGCTCTTTCTGTTCTCCGAATCATTGGATGCATCTATTATTTGTTGCAATCCTGGCATCTAGTCTTTTTTTCTTTGTCTGCCCCTTCCCTTTTCATCTTTCAGTGTTATCATTTCAGCTTTTTTTTTTCCATCTGTTGGCTTGTTTTTAATGAATTTGATTGCTCAGATGTCTCACAGATTAAGTCAAGCGTTTACAGGTTAAATATAAAGCTACAAATTCTCAATCATGGATCAAACTTTCTTCGATGTATGCCGTCCTTATTGATTTATTCGAGGCCAAAGTTGAATGCCCTACCCTTGTTTGATTACCAACTTCTAATAACACAGTAACAAGCTTTTTTTGTATGTTTTTTGCTGTATCAGCATGATTGTTTCATGCAAAGGTGAATGGAAAAACTGCATTTGTCTCTAATTCTTCAGAGAGTTTAAATACTATTTTTTATAACGTCACCACCATGCACAAATACAGTCAATAGAGCTTTAATAAATGTTTATTTATTTTAATGAATTCTTAATCGGTTTAGTCTCCATGGGTCCCTTAAAAGGCTCTATATAAATTCAATTTATTATTATATTACTATAGCAAAAACATGTTTTAACCTGCATAAATTGTATTTTAATAAGAGATTTCACTTTAACAAGGTTTTTCCTTTTTTTCCCCAACCAGTTCGCCTGGTATATATTTGATTCCCCTTTATTTTGTTCTCATGAGAATCACGTCCTGTTGACTCGCCATTGACTAGCATTAGTGAAATGAATAAAAGGTTCATACAGAGTGAGGAAAGAGATTATTAAACCTCATGCTCAAAGTGGTGGGCATGGAGTGAAGTAAATGATTCATTCTGGATAGTCCGGGGACTTTTCTCGTGCTGCCTGTGACTAATGGTGTGGGAGATTTGCACATTGTTCACCAGTATTTTGGATTGCTACAATGAACAAACAGTTAATACAAATGTGTTCAAACTTTCTCACATAATATTCTCATGTCTTTCCATCCGTGATGACTAAAACAGGAACCTACCACCTGCTTAGATAATAACATGTTGGGCCAGAAAGTATAAAGGGTTTTTAAAAAAGTACCAAATGACAACAACAAAAAAATTCAGTAGAATAATTTCACAACTCCTGCCTAAACTTAGAGGAGCACTGTGAAGTTAACTTGCGAACAAAAGGTTATGGACATGGTGTGTAATGCTCGATTATAGCCCAAGTGTAACTTTGAATTCTTTGTTTTGTCGTGCATCTAAATAAGTCACAAAATGTTTCACCTAAGACCATTTTACATGTTAACATTACTGTTTCTTATATCTGTCTGTTAAAACTCAGTACATTTTCAAATTGCAGAATTAAAAAAATCCAGTTTTCTCTTTTGGTTTATTTAAATGTAAACCTTGATTCAAAGTTTGTTCCATGAAGATTTGTGAGAAAGGATGTGAGTGCTTGGCTCAAAACTCTTGTTAAGCAACAATGATAGATTCTAGTAATACAAACACTGCACATGTACAAATATGATAGACATTGTTTCTCAGGCTCTTCTGTAACCTGAGAGGCTGTTACTCCTCTATGTAATCACCAAGAAAGACACACATGTTTTTCACTGTATCATTCTTATTATGAGGTCAGGTAAATGTGACATTACTGCCCATGTTTCTGAACCTCATATTCAGGAGTTTTTGCTATCCATGCCTGTCACCCTGCATTTATTTAGTTACCACTTGCTCAGCATCTCTTTAATGCATAAGTAATCTAGGACTTGACCTTGCATA